CCATCGCCATGGCAACGGCTTGTCACACAAAATGCAGAAGCACCAGGATCCCAAGCCTCCAAGCGCCCCAGGGGGTGGGGGGGGCACGGGCCCCAGCTCCCCCAGGCCCGGGGGGGCAGGGGGAAGACCAGGAGATGCCCTCTGCCCCCACAGGGCACCCACAGAGGCTCCTGCTGGCAGCCAGGTCCCCAGGCCCCTGGCTGCACCCCGAGGGAGCAGGGCCGGCCAGCTGGGCCAAGCCGCGGGCCCCTGGGTTGTGGGGTCACCTGGTGGGGGAGCATCTCCCTGGGCTTTGTCTCTGCCCCTCCCACCCGTGCGGCTGTAACAATAGGCAGGGGGGGGAGTAAAATGCTGCCGATCGCCTTGGCAACGCACAGAGAGGGGGCTGCAAAGCACAGGGCGCCGCGTGTGAGCAGCCCACGCACACGCTGGGGCCAAGCATGCAGCGCCTGGGGCTCCCCAGCCTGCCTGACCACCAGGGGCAAGGGCAGGGCCGGCTGGGCCACATCCACCGTGCAACAGACTCCCACAGCAGCTGGGGCCACGCCACACGGCCACCTCCCACCCACGGTGCCCGGGCCCCCAGACCATGTCCGCATGCCCTGAGGACAGACGGGAACACCCCTTGAAGCCCCCATGGGCCCTGTGTGTGGATATGCCCCCTGCACAGCCAGACATGCAGGCGGGCTTGAGGGAGACCTGCGGGTCCTCAGCACAGACGCAGGGCAGCGACCCCCATTCAGGGCCTGCGCCCAGACACTGCTGGTGCCAGCACAGGGGGTGCAGGGAGCCCATGGTCTGACCTGGAGGGCAGGATTGTCTCTGGCAGGAGTGCAAGGCCTCCCCAGGCACCCCCCTCCCTGGCTCTCACGCATGGCTGCATGTGTTTTCTGCCTGAGCGCACGGCCCATTCCCCGGGCAGCCGAGCAGAAGGGCCAGGCTGGGCGCAGCTGCGGGGCTGCAGATGGGGTGCAGCATCCCACCCCGGGAGCGCTGGGAGGGCGTCACGTCCTGGGGAGCAAAACCACAGCCCACAGGGTCTGTCTGCGTGTGCCCCCACCCCAATACAGCCCTCGGGGCCCCCGGCTCAGGGCGGCTGCTCTCCAGCGGGTCCCACCACAGCCCGGCTCACACGGGGGCACTTGGCCTGCGCTGGTCCAGAGCTGCTGTGAGCTCCCAGGAGGAGCTGAAGATGCCAAACACCCTAAAAATAGCTGCTGCCGCTCCAGCTGGTGCTGGTGACACATTCACAGTGGGGGCGGGAGGGGAGGAAGCTTTCCTGTGGCTGCGCTGTGCAGGCTGTGCACCCCCCATGTCTGCAAGGCCTGGCACCGATAGACCCGGCCCCACATGGTCTCAGCTCCAAAGCCGTCAGGAGCTGTGGACGCCGTTTTGCTTTGCTGGTGCTGGATCCCCTGCTGCATGCTGCTGTGCCCATGCTGCGCGTCTCCAGGGCTGGGGGCTGCTCGTGCCCCACCTGACCCCCGCAGGGCGCTCTACAGAGAAGGGAAGGTGGGGGCTGCTCGTGCCCCACCTGACCCCCGCAGGGTGCTCTACAGAGAAGGGAAGGTGAGCGGCAGAGCTGCTGCCAGCTTCCTGCTGCACCAGGCAACTCGAGGCCCCTGCCGCCGGCAAGACGAATGGGGGAGAACACCTCAGCCAGCCACCACGTGGAGCATAGGCTTCCCTAGCAACTCCTTGCCCAGGGCAAACCCACACCCACACCCGCCTATATTTCATGCACTGCTCAGCAGGTGCTGAGAGGCAACATGGCAAGTACTACCCAACCGCTCCAGGCACCAGCCCCACTCTGCCGGGGCAGCTGAGGCCAGGCCAGTCTCCGAGCTCCCCTCTGCATCCTGGCGAGGGGGAGGGCAGGGGGGGCACAGTGCTGCACGTGCCCCCCAGGCGTGGTGGCCACCCCCTGCTCAAAGGCCCCGGACCTGCCCTCGCCGCCACGTGCTCCGACCCAGCACCACTTCCCGCGCGCCCTCCCATTGGCCGAACTCTCCGCCTATCCGGAGAGCCCTGGGCCGCCGCCCCGCCCACTGGCATCTTCACCCCTCGGGGGCGCTGCTCTGCCAATCGGGAGCCCCGCCCCACCGTCATCAGCCAATTAGGGGAGCGTGCTGCGCGCAACCAATCGGCCCTGCGCTTGTTGGCGTGAGGCCAGGGAGCGGGGGGGTGGCCAGGGACAGAGCTCAGGGCTATGCAGCGGCTGCTGGGGGCCGGGGCGCGGCCGCCGCGCAGGGCCCCGTGGGCAGTGGTGGTGGGGACCGGCTTCCGGCTCCTGACTGGGGCCGGGGGTCGGCAGGCGTCGTTGCCGAGGCAACAGGCGGGCGGCGGCGGAAGTGC